CGGGCCGTGCAGCGGGCCGCCGCGAAGCGCGCGTGGCTGTCGGAGTTGAATTGGGAAGGAAACTCTTTACAACTCCATTTTGGCTTTTGCATTTAATGTGAAATATGAATCACCGATTTATACTGGGTGAAGTCCAGTTATATTTTGGGTAGATTTTTTTTTTTTCTTAAATGCAGGTTTTTTTAGAGATTGTGTAAGTAAACGACAGTATTGAAATCTTAGGGGTTAGGATTCTTCAGTATTGCAAAGAAGCAAATTATCCATTAAACACATTTTTCATGACTTAAGTGATTTAAACTATGTTTCATCAAAATAGTATTAATTTGCAATTTCGCTTAATCTAAGTTACTACTTTGATTAGGAATCACCTAAACATCTGTCCTTAGTTACCAGTTGAACCCAGTTACAGGTCGTCTTCATTAAATAGCTCTATTTGCACTCAGGTTGATTTGTTCAAAATCATGTTTAGTAGTTTATGGTGGGAAATTGGAATCCTTTTAACCTCAGAGTTGGTTCCACTTGTGTTTTTTAATGGTCCTGATTTAAATTTTTAAACCATTTTTTATTGAATTAGAGAGAGAGAGACAGACATCGATTTGTTCCACTTATCTGTGCATTCATTAACTGTTTGGTGTGTGTTCTCTTACTGGGCATCCAGCCCTCAACCCTGTCTATCCGGACGGCTCTGACCAAGTAGGGTACCCAGCCAGGGCCTGATTTAAAATGTTAACCTCTGTTGGCGACTTGTTTGCTTCTTTTTGTGTTCAAGACAGTCTTTTGAAGTAACTTGCGGTGTGCAGTCAGGCTGTGTTCCTCCCTGCCAGATCTGAATGGGGAAAAAATAACTTAAGAAAATTCGGTGTTGTATGTGGTAAGAGATTTTCAACCACTTAGTGCCACACACCCGAATGTGTAGTGTGCATGTACATTTGTGTGGTTGTCACTTTAGACATGGCTAGATTGGTAGAGCTGTTGTTTTGAGTATTTGGCACAAGTGACATTGTTTAGACTGAATGTACAAGACTAGCTCTTAATTGTAAAGGATAACTTACTGAAGGATCTCTTTTGATAAGTTGTCTTGAGAGTAGTTCTATCTACTTTTTAGAGCACTGGTAGCTCTTGGGGACATAAAATATATAAGATAGAATTTGTTTGAGTCAAAGTCTAATCCTAGACTTACATCTTCTGTTCTCATAAAAATCTACAATGGAAGGAAGAAGAGAATAGGAATGCGACTTTTTCATAGATCCAGAATTTTGCATCTGAAAGGAATCTTCAAGGCTTATATTCCAACACCATTAGCAGATGAGGAAATTAAGTTACAAAGGCTAAGTAAATTTCTTAAGTCATGTCTAGTCAGGTGCAGGCCCCAACTATTTTCTCTGTAAGGGATTCTCCATGTACTCCCAAACAGCTTGCTTAGAATCAGCTAAAACTCAGGACTTAACAGCTTATTACAGTGCTTTCTCCTTTTATATATTGCTGATTTTATATATATTGGGAAAATCTGAAAATTTTATTTTCCAAACAAATTTCAGTTCTTTAGCTACATCACTCTCCTCTCTGTAACTGGGTGGTCCTATAGCAGTTGATTGAAATAGATAAATGAATATACAGGGGTCCCTGCCTAGTCCTGGCTTTAGGTTTTGGGTCTATTGAGGGACCAGCTTCTCCCACAGGGAGTCCCAGGCTCCCCTGCTCTAAATGTAACATAATTATTAGGTCAGGCTAAGATGTTATCAGGCAACTTGTGCTCTTTTGACTGTTGACTGTAGGTAGGATGGGGAGAAACTACATGTATCATGTAAATAGTTCCTTGTGTGTATGGCAGTGGTTTTGTTGGAGTATTTTAATAGTCCTGATTCCTTTTATGTCAGTTAACTTCTTTTAAAAGTTTATCCTGGTCATGTGGGGGTGTTAGTTATTAGGAGAGTGAAAACAGGTAGATCTTCAGGTGTTTCCTGTCTATGGGGTGGAGTCCAAGCAGTGACAGGAGGAGGAAGTGGGTTGCTGCTTTGGGTTTTATTTGTCCTAGAGCTGTGAGGTTTATGTTCGCTCTGTCGGAAGAAAGATGGATAATTCAACTTTTAAGAGAACTAATTTGGGCTTGCTGGGCTCCTATAGACAGCACTTTGGGTTTAATTGCATTATGGCTACTAATGATAATGATAGAATGGTTCATAATTGCTGGATTGTAATCACACATTTGTAGTTTTAAAAGGTCCCTAAGTATTTTGTCTTCCCTTACCACTCAGTTTATCTTTATGCAGTTCCTAGTCAGTGGAACTCAGTTTGCCATACCTACACTTTAATGTAACTAAATTTTAAACTTGTGTTGATGTGTATTGCTATACTCTGCTTCTTGGGGACATGCTCACTGTTAAGTACTTGTGAGATTAACAAATTAAAATTTCCAAAACAGTTTAAAGATAGTAATTACTGTAAAATTCCCATTTCAAGTGTTTCTATTTCAGGTGACTCATTTTTAATCTGTGGGGTTGTAGTAATAAGTGAAGACCTTGTATACTCATAATTATGATAGTCATGTGACTGAAAATCAGATAGGCATTGAAGCTGCTCATTCTGAGTGTTGGTCTGAGTTTATTGGTGGTTCATCCAGATGATTCTGAATACATTTTATAGCTAATAATCTTGAAAATATGAGATACACTCTGTTAAATTGCAGCCACTTTGCAGTGTATACCAAATTGAGCTTGATTTTTTTTTTTTAAGAGGATTGGTAAAGTAAATATGTTTAAGCATATTTATGATAGTATCTTAATATTCAAGTGAAGGGAAAGAAGAGAACATAAGGCGTCAGTGAAATAGGTTTGGAGTAAAAAGAAAAGTGGGAGATAAAATGAAATTAGAGAGGTGGGCAGGGACCAGATCATGTAGGGCCTTTAGGACATGGGAAGTTCTTCAGGTTTGTTCTGAGGTAAGAAATTAGATTTTTTCTTTTAGCAGGGGAATGTTATGATCTGATATTAAACAAGCAGCTAGAATTGTGCATAGAGAGTAGGGGTAGATCTGACTTTAATAAGCTAATACTGATCATTTCTGACAAAAATATCAGAAGGATTTCCTATTATTATTTACTTCCTTGACCAATTTTTTTTTTTTTTAAGCTATTGATTTTTCTGACATTTGCCTTTTGGCCTTTAATTTCTCAGTAAAGCTTGTTTTGCTCTGTGTTGTCTTTTTTTAATCCTCACCTGAGGATATTTTTTCCATTCCTTTTCAGAGATAGTGGAAGGGAGAGAGAGAGAAACATCCATGTGAGAGAGACACATTGATTGGTTGCCTCCCGCACTGGTGCAGCTGGGCCAGGGATTGAGCCTGCAACTGAGGTACATGCCCTTGGCTAGAATTGAACCTGGGACCCTTCATCTGAGGGCCTACACTCTTAACAGGCCGGGGTAGTAATGCCTGTTTTAAAAAGGAAATATAGCTTGATAAAGCAAGTCTAATGTGTTCATGGTAGTCTAGGTGGTAGGGATGTAGGTGTTCACTGTAAAATTCTTTTAACTTTGCTATGTGTTTGAAAATTTTTATAGTAAAAAGTTGGAAAGTTAACCCACATAGGATTTATCTGTTTTTGATATTTGCTTTTAAAAGGGCAACATTAATTTATAATGTTCAGAAAATAAGGTTGATTGTGTACATTAAGTGAAAGAGGCCAAGACTCGTATAAATGTGATACATTTTTATGGTATGTGAATTAAAAATTAAATTTTGCACTTTTTTCTCTCTTGGATTCTAAATTACTTCACAGAACTTTGGGGGACCCCATTTACATCTTGTGCTGTGCTTTGTTTTGTTTTGTTTTTGTAAAATGAACAGACATAATTCCTGATATTTTTTGGTTTTATAGTGCCTTTCATCTGAGAAGTTCAAGGCGCTTTGTAAAACTTCTGCCACACAGGCCGTGAGTCTTGCAGCACATTTGTAAGGTATGTCAATAGATACCTTTTCTTTCATTCTCCTGTTCCCATGGAATAGAGATTTTTATTATATATTAATGTAGGTTCTGGGAAAACGTGGGTGTATTACTATTAACGATTTTCTTCACCAATCTTGAGATCTTTATCTTACTCCACAACTTTTCTCTTTGGTCTTATTTTTCTGCCTCTCCATTAGTCCTCTAACTTCCTTTTTCTCTGCTATTCTAAGAAATATTTCTTCCTTAGATGAAGATATAGTTCCTAACCTCTTTCTTAATCTTTAAGGAGAGGGACTCACCATATTACACACATTCTTCCTTACTTGTGGACCATTCCTCTCATCCTTCTATTTTTCATGTTTAAGTTTTCATTTTCTGGATTGTGTAGTTTGGTCATCTTACAGTTTATCCTGTGCTGTGGGTATATCTAATTATCAGTAGAAAATGAACCAACTAGAGAATGAGAAACAGGACAGTCCGCCCTACCAGAACAGTCAGCAGTGGTGCTGGCTTGGGAGGGAGCAATGTTAACAGCAGGTATAACAGCCCACCCAGCAGCTGTTCCAGATACCTTAAACTGATTACAAATAAGGGAAATGGTATTTTAATTTAATGGACACTATGATAAATGTTCTGGTCTGGAATCATTTTGACCACCTTTTGTTGTTTCCCGTGGGTTCGAGAGCACTCTGTATGTAGAGAAATGATTTGTTAGGTGATTCTTATTTCATGAGATGGGCTATGTGACAGTGAAGGCATATGATGGTAGTGCTTTTGGTTGGCTTTGAACTCTTTAGGTATGTGAGGAATGGCCAAGTTAGTTTGTGCTTTTCCATTATTCACTCATTTAACAAATAGTTACTACTGAATAGCCACTGCTGAATATGCAAGGAGTTGTTCTGGGACACAGAAGAAAACAGAAGGTCCATGCCCTCAGGGAGTTTTTTGTTTGTTTGTTTGATATTTATTCCTAAAAAACATGAACATTTGGTATGAAACTGAAAAGTCTGTTAGTTTTGAATTATGCCATCTACTTTTTTCTCTCTTAAATTTAACTTTACTTTTAAAATTTTTTTTCTATACTTTTTACTTTTATTTTTTCATCTACTTTTCTCGATATCACTGACAAGAAAGGGGAAAGCACATCAGATATTAATAATCACAAAAACATTAAAAACACTGCTCATGGAGTTTTGGTGTTTTGTTTTTTATTAAGAAAAACAATTGCACCTGGCCAGACATGGCTCAGTAGTTGAGCGTCGACCTAGGATCCAGGCGATCGGGGTTCGATTCCTGGTCAGGGCACATGCCCGGGTTGCGGGCTCCATCCCCAGTCAGGGGTGTGCAGGAGGCAGCCAATCAATGACTCTCTTATCATTGATGTTTCTGTCTCTCTCCGTCTTCTTTCTTCTCTCTGAAATCAATAAAGATATATTTTAAGAAGAAAAAAACAATTGCGTGTTTATCAGTCTTTTCATTTTTCTTTTAAAATTTTTTTTAAAAGTGTAATTTATGGTTGAAATACAGTATTATATTAGTTTCAGGTGTACAATATAGTGATTCAACATTTATATACCTTAAAACGTGCTCACTAAGTCTAGTAAGCATTTGTCATTGTGCAAACTTATCACAATATTATTGACTATATTCCCCTTCCCCTTTTTCACCCATCCTACCATCCCCTTCCCCTTTTTCACTCATCCTACCATCTCCTTCCCCTATGGTAACCTTCAGTTTGGTCAGTTTCTGTGAGTCTGTTTTTTTATTTTGTTTATTTGTTTTGGTTTTCTTAGATGCCACATAAAAGTGAAATCATATTATATTTGTCTTTCTCTGGCTTACTTAGAGACTCTAGGTCTATGCATGTTGTTGCAAATGGCAAGATTTCATTTATTTTTATTGCTGAGTAATACTCCATTTATATACATACAGCACATCTGTATCCATTCATTTATGGATGGACACATAGGTTGCTTCCATATCTTGGTTGTTGTAAATAATGCTGCAGTGAACAAAGGGGTGCATGGAGTTTATATCCTGATAGAGAAGACTGATAATAGACAAGGAATGGACTTGCCTTTTTTCAGGAATAGCAAAAAGGCTTGAATGGTTGGAGCCTAAAGAACAAGTGAGATGAGTAGGAGAAATAAAGCCTTATAGCTAGGCAGGGGCCAGATCTTGTAGGAACTGGGAATTTAGAGTCTATTCAGAGTGCATTGGGGAGCTATTTAAGGATTTTCTTAAAAAAAAATATCTTTATTGATTTCAGAGATAGGGAGGGAAAAGGAGAGAGATAGAAACATCAATGATGAGAGTCATTGATTGGCTGCCTCCTGCCCGCCCCCTACTGGGGATCGAGCCTGCAACCCAGGCATATGCCCTGATGGGGAATCGAACCTTGATCTCCTGGGTCATAGGTTGATGCTCAACTACTGAGCCATGCTGGCCCGGCCGAAGGGTTTTTATATAAAACAAGGGAGTGATATTATCTGATTTGTTTATATTTTGGGCTGCTCTACAGAGAATATAGTAGCAATTTTCAACCGGTGTGCCACAAGAATTTTTAAAACATGCATTACTTGACTATTTAGTCAGGGGCACTAACCTCGTTTTTTTTAGATTGTCAAATAAAAAAAACGACAACACGTCCAGCCAGGCATGGCTCAGTGGTTGAGCATCAACCTAGGATCCAGGAGATCGGGGTTTGATTCCCAGTCAGGGCACATGCCCTGGTTGCGGGCTCTATCCCCAGTCAGGGGCGTGCAGGAGTCAGCTGATCAATGACTGTCATCATCGGTGTTTCTATCTTTCTCCCTTTCCTTTCCTCTCTCTGAAATTAATAAAGACATATTTTAAAAAAAAAGACAATAGCCAACATAACAATATTCATTATAGCCATTGGTGTGAATGAATCAAAATTACACCTTTTGCCCAGGCCAGTGTTTCTCAGTGGTTAGAGCATTCGCCCTTGCACCGGCAGGTCTCTGGTTCGATTCCTGGTCAACGGCATGTACCTGGGTTGCAGGTTCAATCACCTGCACGCCCTTTACTAGGGATCGAGCCTGCAACCTGGGCATGTGCCCTGAGGGGGAATTGAACCTAGATCTCCTGGATTACAGGTTAGTGCTCAACCACTGAGCCATGCCAGTCGGGCATGAGTTTTTTTACTGCCACCTGACTGAATCAGAGAAACATGACATGTTTGGTGTTTCCATTTTCTTGTCTTTTATTTGTTTAACTGTAGGAGTTAGTATGTTGGGGCTTATATCCTAGGATTTTACCAACCTTTTTTCTTTTCAACTGTCTTTTTTTTTTTTAAATGTGTTTCCATTGATTTTAGAGAGAGAAAGGGGGGGAGAGAGAGAAACATCAGTGTGAGAGAGAATCATTGATTGGCTTCCTCCTGCACGCCATACTGGGGATCGAGCCCACAACCTGGGCATGTGCCCTGACCGGGTATTAAACCGAGATCTCCTGGATCATAGGTCGATGCTCAACCACTGAGCCATGCCAGCCAGGCTTTACCACAATTTTTAAAAAGGAAAAAAATACCATACCGTAAGGTTTATCATAAAAATGTGTATATGCTCCCTATGCTAAAGCTCAGTCCTCCTTTCATAGTATTGCTTCCTTGGGGCTTTAAGAATATTTTTAGAGCATAGGGTTGGTAAAGCACTTATATGAAACAATGCCAAAGGAGTAGAACATGAAAAGTAAGCCTTTCTTCACATCTCAGCCTCCCAAGGTCCTTGCTTCAGAGAAAACCATGTAACTGGGTCTTATATATCCTTCTAGAGATACAATGTCTATTGTATATATTACATATTTTTCCTTTTTTAGGTACAGACTTGCACTTTACACTGTTATGTGCAACAAGATCTTGGTGATTATTTGGCAAGATATTTCAAAGTATACATTATGGAAAATAGTTTGGCGGTTCCTTAGTTGTTAAATATAGAATTACCATATGACCCAGCAATTCCATTCCTAGATATATACTCAGAAGAATTGAAAACAGGTACTCGAACAAACACTTATACGTAAATGTTCAAAGCAGCACTATTCATAGCCAAAAGGTGGAAATAATCCAAATGTCCATCAACAGGTGGAATATTATCCAGCCATTTAAAAAAATGAAGCACTGATACATGCTGCAACATGGATGAACCTTGAGAGCATCGTGCTAAGTAAAAGAAGCCAGACACAAAAGGCCACATATTACATGATTTCATTTATATGAAATACCCAGAGTAGGTAAATCTATAGAGACAGAAAGCAAATCGGTGGTGGTTTCCAGGTGCTGGGGGAAGGGAGAGTAGGGGCTGGAGGCTTAATGGGTGTGGATTTTCTTTTGTGTTGATGAAATGTTTTGGAGCCCTAGCCAGTTTGACTGACAGTGGTTAGAGCATTGACCTGTGTACTGAAGGGTCCTGGGTTCTATTCTGGCCAGGGGCACATACCTTGGTTGGAGGCCTGATCCTTGGCCTGGTCAAGTGGGAGGCAACCAATCTATGTGTCTCTCTCTTTCTCTCCCACTCTGTCTGAAAAGCAGTGGAAAAAAGATCCTCAGGTGAGGATAAAAGAAAAAAATGTTTTGGAACTAGATGGTGGTGGTGGGTGCACAACACTGCTGATGCACTGAATATCACTGAAATTGTATACTGTAAAAAGGTTAACTTTATATTATGTCAAATTCACGTCAGTTAAAAAAAAGTTTTTTAAATAGATGTTCAGGCCTCACCCTGAAGAGATTTCAGTCTTCTAATTGTGGAGCCTTGAGAGGAATAGAGATGTTTGTACCAGAATGCATGGTGCCTGGCTGTGCGCTGTCATTGCTGTCGTTAGGTACCTTGGTGGGGCTACCTCTTAGTTCGTTCTACTCTGGTTTGGGGCAGTGTAGCAGAGAGTTAGGTTGCACAAGTCGCATCCTGATTCTGTGTATCCATTTAAGGTGAACCTTGGAATATTGACATTTTGAGGTGGCTGATATGATACCCAGAAGGTATGTAT